CACCCCTGTAACCCCCCACTACCAAAACCTTGCCACACAAACCCAATACAGATGTATAAGTTTGCAACAGTGACATAAACAGCCCAGAATAATAGGTATGTGGGGGTAAAACTTGCAGATTTTGTCTTCTGTATCAACACTGGAAGGATAGAGTAAAAAGAAAATACTGCAAATGTGTCTTTGTCCTTACTGAAACATATATTGAAACTCTAGAAAGGGTGCTTGCTATGTTGTGAGAACTTCCAGAGGTTATTTCAGAAAACCTTTGCTATATAAATGTTTTGCTTGGTTTCTATAATGTAAGAAGTTTGCTCGCAGCCAAGCTGCATTATTTTTCTGTAGCCAAGAGACAGAAACACCTCCAGAGAAAGGCTAACTTGCCTCATTTATTGTGCAGGCCAATTCTTCTGATACCAACCAGATTCTGATGATTCATCCTTTGAAGTGAGAGCCAGCTCAGTGTGTCTGAAGGCCTCAGACACCCCAGCCCCATGGCCTTTGTATTCTGGATGTTTGGGTTGTTTTTTTTAAAATAAAAAAGTTCAGGCACTAGGAGTCATGCAATTAATGTTACAAGTAAATGATTATTAATGTATTAATTGTAGGGGTCAATATATTTCCTGCATAAGAATATTTATTTTTTTAGCCTAACTGATGCTAATTCTGCTTTCTGAAATCAACAGAATCTATGTGGGTATACAGTAACTGGGGAGGGCAAGAGGTGATACGCTAGTTTTGTCTCTGCCAAACTTAGAGGTAACTTGAGTAGACTAAAAGCTGCATTATCAGTGAGATGAGATAGCAATAAAACAATGGAAGGAAGCATATTTCCTTTTTAATCTCTGCACTACTGCTGAATGTGATACTCTGCAGGAGTGCCGAGTTACCATGCAGCACCACACGTTGATGTGAAAGACCGGTACATCATTATTGTGTTGCACAACAATAACCAGCAGAGAGATTACTTGAGATTTGAGGCTTGTAAAGTCTCTTAATCATTCAAAGTCTGATTTTGCCATGGTTTTTTTGTTCTGTCCTAAACCATTCTTGTAATAAACAATGTTGAAAGAATTGCAGAGATTTGTATTAGAGGTATTTTTTTTCAATGTGTTAAAGGATTTTATGAGATAAAGGAGCCAGCCAGCAATGCCATGGACTCTAGCATGCTAGTCAAAGACCAGAGGTATCCCATTAAATCCACAGAAATCACTCCAAAGTACATTCAGTTTCTGTGAATGTAACAACAACACGTCCACAGAGCAGAAGCAAGCTTGTGCTGCACAGCCAGTACCACTGCACCAGCAAAACTGCCCTGCTACTTTAGCATGGGACAGCTGTCTGCTGAGAATGGTGTGTACAATCTCCTCTTAGACACCTCTGTACCTTAGCTTGGACAAGATTTGTGTCTTGTAATACAAAAATAATTCAGACCATTTCATTATTGGAGTTTCGCAGGACTGTGCCAAAGCCAAAAGGGTTGTTTGTGATTCGTTGACAGGTCGCAGAAAGACTGAATAAAAGCTGCAGTTTAAAGGAGGTTCTAGGCAGAAGAACGTGATAGCAAAGTATTTATCGCGAGCCAAATTCATTGTCTGTTAGAGGGCTCTAACAATACAGGCGTCTCGGAAGTGCCACGTGCCTAAGCTCCTGTTTCAAGCTCTGAAAGAGTGTTTCCATATTAAGTGAAGCATGTGAGGCAGGCAAGGTAGCCAGATCGAGCTCTTTCATGTGAGAGATGGGTCACTGAACGAGTTTTGTAGATCTTTCTGTATGTTGTCCGTCATTGTGGGAGTCTAGATTTAACCTGTGGGTCCCTCCTAGTCCTGAGCTCAGACCTAATGCTAGGGTTTGGGGGTCTGTGCTTGCTTTTATCCATGATTCTCTACTAGGGATTCCCAATATTGCATTTTGGACCTGACTCTGGCCGTGCCATTTCTAAGGCCGTGGAGTTAGTGTGTGGAAACTGCAGCACAGGTCTGGTGGTGGTCTTCGGAAGAGCTAATGCCATCAGGCTCGACCGTGTTGCATTCTCAAATGTAACATCAGCCAGGGTAAGATGTGACCGTGTAGCTATGCCAGCAGCTGGTCGGTCTGTTTTAATCTTCTTCCACCATTTCCTTTCCTGTTCTTTCTGCCCAATTGCATCATATCAGCGTTCAGGAAAACTCACCCTCATTTTGGGGTGCTTTGTGATCTTCACTGCAAGTGAACTGAGAGGCCAGCCACTTACGTGAGCCAGGGAAAAAAATCTAGGTAACAAAAAACATGCGTAGGCTTCTGACTCTTCTGAAAATTTACGGGGAAGGAAACTGTGCTCTGCCTTGAAGAAATTGTTTCACTTGTTCAGGTTTTCTAGATTGCCCGCAGGAGGTAAGGACAAATGGGTGTTGGTGTCCTGACCCACAGGTCCTGTTCAGCCCGATGCCTTGGGGGACAGCCACTACTATTAAATTGTAACGGATTTCTCTATTAAAGAGCGTTAACAATATTTTCTGGGAATCCACTTAAAAAGTCCAAGAAGACAGTTTAAAACTTTGAATACAATTACTTCAGGCCATTTGTTTCGATGGTTTATAAATGAAGCAATTCAAATCTATGCTGCTTCTTAAATCTGTGTTCATGGCCCCAAAAATTATTTCACTGACAGAATCATGTGATAACTCGCAGTTCATATACCCTGTGAGAAGAAAGACCTAACGGGAAGGCAGTTACCCCGCTGGCACTAAATTAGGGGACACCCCTGGGTGCCGTGGCTGAAACGAGGGGTGTCCCCAGTGTCCTGGGTGAGGACGGAGGCTGAGGATGCTGTCGGAGAGGTGGAGTGGTCCATCGGCACCCCGGGTGCTCTCCTCTCCTCTGTTTAAAACTGGCCCTGACCCTCTGTTGCAGGGAACCGCAGTCCTGCAGGATGGTACAAAATCTGCCTGACTCGTCCGGAGCACCCATCCACCCCGCCTGCTTATGGAAAATTTTACGGCATCCAGCGCAAAACCCAGCCACCACGTTCATCTGCGTCAGCACGGTCCCTTCTGTCACAGCGGTAAAATACAGCGCGGTAAAATACTGGTAAAATATTAAATACAGTAAAGTAGTAAAATTCTGGGATGCGCTGTAGGTTTGGGGTGTTCTGAATTCGTAAAAATTTATAAAGCTCTTCAGCGAGTGCTTTCTTGGAGTCCCTACCGTTTTAAAAATGTAAACACCTACCGAAGTTTATCATAGATACTTTAGCAAGTGAGTGTTAGCTGTTTATAGCTTATGACTAAGAACCAGGGTACGGTGCTCAGCTAAGCTCTACCCAGGTTCTTCACTTAGGGATGATCTGTATGCAAATCCCTTATCAAAATTAGCTTTGGGCAGACACCTACTCCTGCTACCCCTCTGTGTTACAGGCAGGATGGTTTCAATGTTTTGCTTCCTGCCGCTTTGTCCAATCCACTTTTATCATTTTTAAAAAGCTGGAACATCCCCCTTTAAAAAAAAAGAAAGAAAAAAATCTCTATTTTCTGTTAAACTTTGCCCATGCGTTATGCAGTATTTATCACCGTGTTTTTCCTCTGAACTAGCACAAGAGCTCCCAGGTACTCTGGTTGTACATGGAAGGAATAATAATTACTAGCTCATTTGAGCGAGCTTGTCCTAATTTTGCCATTCCACCCGAAGGCAAAGGCCAAAAAAAATTAGATTGAAAACCTTGTCTTCTTATCACACAAGGTGAGATCT